AAACAGCAGCACCAAAACAGCAGAAAAAAAAAAAAAAACTTTGTTCATCTTAACAGATAAAGAAGATGTTAAAATATTTCTTGTGTACATTCTGTTTCTGTTGTCTGTTTCTCTCACATACACACACACACACACTTTTTGTGGCACATTCATATCATAATGTGACATCACTGTCATCTTAGAGAATCGAGAGTACTTTTGTGCTTTGATTACTTAACTGTAGATGATACGTGGTAATTAATGAGATCATTTGAAATGTGTTTTCACCCATCCTGAGATGTGCAGTGTGAGTGTCAAGTCAGTAGTAAAATCATTAATTATTATGCAGGAAAAAAAAGAGACTTCTTAAAAATCTGTCAATGCTTAGGACTAAATGAAACACAGCTTGGATTACTCTTGATCACAACTGGCATTACTGTGCCTAATGAGTTTAAGCTTTAGAACCCCTCAGTTGCAGCTTCCCCTACTCACCAAGGTCGTAGGAGAAGCCCTAGCAGTATGTTCAGAGTCTTTTTTTTTTTTATTTGTGGAAATAAGCTAGTTTAAATGCAGCTTATTGACTGCCTAGCCCACCCACCATATTGCTTCTCTCAGGTGGCACTGGAATGATCACAAGCACTTTTAGATCTTATAAGGGGATAGTGAGTTAATTTAGGTTTTGTACACTTAATATGGTGTTCACTATTGTTTTATACATAGCAACTGGAAAGGATTTTGCACCACCTCTAGTGGGTATAGACCAGTGATGTTCATAGTCTACAATATACAGGACATAGCTATCTAAGATCGAGAAGGTAACCCAAGGTCCAGCTTTACTGTGGGAGACTGGGTGAAAGCGTCAACTCATTAAGATAATAGGAATTATTAGAGGTCTTAAATAGGAGCTTAGTTTATTTCAGAAGCAGAAACTAAGGAAGGAATTAGGCTAGTAAACAGAAGCACCAAAACGGCAGAAAAAAAGGACAGTTGATTAGGACACAGGCTATCTAGCTGCAAATGCCAAAAGTGCCTAGGTTGTGAAACCCCCTAAAATAGGTGTGACTGGCCCCAGAGCCAATATAGGAACGGTTTCCGGGAATCGCCTCCCAGGAACTACCACTGTTCATACCCACCTGGGTGTCAGAGGTCACTCCACAATGGGAACATGGCCATGGGGTCTGGCACCAGAAGTCTTTGAGTAGAAGAGGAGAAACAAGATTTTAAACATCCAGGGCTCCATGGGAAGAAAATTCTTTTGAGGCCATAGACATGTAAATTACAAGCAAAGGATTCTGTCTTCATCAGTGCCTAGCTAAAATGGTGTTTCATTGTAAGAAGATACTAGATAATGGAATGTACTTAGTTTTTTTTTTTTTTTTTCAAAACATTTTTAAGGAAAGAGTCACCCCACGGGCTGGAGTGTAGCTTAGTGGTGTAGCATGTGCTTAGTGTGCTTGAGGCATTCATTGGCTTCAATCCCCAGTGTATGCACGTATGCACACACCCACATACTCACACACCATTCAAAATAGATCTTTATCAAAATTCCTGTCATTTTAGGCTTAAACCTGAATTACACACAGCAAGTACATGTGTCATGATTTTTACATCACAGCTGTCAATAAAAATAACTGTGATCAACCACACTATCTTCCTATTCTTTCTATAGAAAACATTTCAAAAGTTGCCAGGTGAAAGGCAAATATAGTGTGTAGCCAAAAAAAGAGAACAAGAAAGTTACCAGGAAGGAGTTGTCAACTTACTAGTCACAACATCAAGATTTTATTTCTGCATTTTGTGGTGATTGTAGTGTTTGACTACTTTTTAAAAGCATGTAAGCTTCGGGCTTCACAAACCAGGGATCCCTGTTCATGATTGTGCCGACTTATATTTTTATCAAGTGAATAAACCTTTGAATGTGAACTACGTCAGCTCTCCATTACTACCACACGTACCTGCAAATTACCTCATGTTTATCGGTTTTGTGCTCACTTCCATGTCTGCAGCAGTAGAGGCAGGAGTCTTGTAACCTTACTTGGGGGAGATTCTGTCCATTTGATGCCCTTTAGATCCTGGTTGCATTATGTCTCTGCTGCCCCAGTGCCTTCAACCATAATCTTCATCCCCTGTCATCCAAAGAAGTCTAAAAGGGTTTAGAAGATCTATGCAGATTTGGAGGGCAGGTGGGAAAGGCATGCTAACACAAAGATTGCTGCTTTGGGTGGCTCTGCCGTCAGCTTCTTTCTTCCGTACCCAAGGAAGGCTACTTTCATTCTGGATGCTGTTAACCCTTCTTCAGATTTCTTGGCCATCTTCTGGTACCTGTGTGTTTCTTTCTTCTTTATTTCTTGTAAATACCAACTTTGTTTCTGCCATATCATAGTGTCCTGCTGTTTCTCTCGCCTGTGGTCTCACTCCTCTTTGCTGAATGCCCCTCTGCCTTCCCCATAGGTTCTGTGATATGGGAGCCCACTTGCACTTCCTCTCCCAAACAAACTCCTCTACTCTGTGGAGGTGATCCTAGAGGCAAGGAGCTTAGCTTGTGTCCACCTCAGTCCATTCCCTCGAGCCCCAGTCCCACATTCTCATTATTCAAAGCAGCAAGCCTGGTTGTTTACCATCATTTACCCCTAACCGACTGGTCACCCAGGCCAGAAACATTAGACTTGTCCTAGATTCCTTTTCTCTTACTTTCTGCCTCATCTGACTCATGTAATTGTTCTTCCCTCGTCTCCTTCTCCTTCTTTTTTTCCTCTCCCTCATCACTGGTCTTCTTCCTTAGGTCTTTCTCCTAGTTCCCCTGTGTTACTGTGGCATTTTTAAAAAACATTTTTATTAACATGTATTAGTTGAACAGGGGCTTCATTGTGACATTTCCATATATGCTTACAGTGTACCTTGGTTAGGTTCATCTCTGACATCATTCTCCCTTATCCCCCTTCTCCCTACCTAAAATGATTTTGACAGGTTTCATTGTTCTATTTTCATACGGGTATATGATACAGTGACCATGTCCATCCTCCTTTACTCTCTCCATTCACCTTCCACCTCCCATTAGTACCCTCCCCTAACAGGACCTGTTTTACATTCCTGTTCTTCATAATTTAAGTGTATATTCATAGTTCAAAGGAGTTTTGCCATGGTATTTCACCTGTGTGTATATTGTACATTAGCCAGTCTAACTCCCTCTATTGCTCTCCCTGTCCCTTTTCCCCTATTATTCAATAGCTTTCAGTGAGTTTCCTTAGCCTTCTTTCTACACAGATGCCATGTATTTTAATATTATTCAGTCATTCTGTTTTCCTTTCCTTCCTCACCCTAGTTCCCTCAAACCAGTCCCACTATTCCAAGCAAGTTATATGTGTGTATGTATTTATATATATCATAATGTTTGTATCTGTGTATACATTTATCTTTTGGATCTATCCTCCACATATAAGAGAAAACATATGACCTTTTGATTGAACTCCCCTGCCTCCAGGATCATCTCTAGTTTCACTCTCCACCTTTACTGGAATGTAAATGCAAAATTTGCATATTCTGCATAAAACCCTGCAGTGTCTCCCTTTCCCCTCCAGATAAAGTCCCTGGCTCTGTCACTTGGCACTTGAGGTCCTTTGTGATCTGGTCCTTGTAGTTTATAATCCTCAACTTCTGCTCAAGCTGCTCCCTCTGTTAATCATACCTTTTCAGCTCTCTCTGCAGCCTCTAGCCCATAGAGTACACTCACCCCCATCCTGTACCCTGTCCCACTCTTGTGAAGGCAGTGGATGTGTAACATTTTCTGATGGCTAGGATTTATAGAACCAGGCACCTGTAAAAATACTTTATGCCCCATACATCATACAGTTCTCTAAGTGCCCTGTGAAAAAGCTACTATGTTTCTTCATTTTGCAGATGAGGGCACAGAAAGATTAAAATATTTAGTCAGGGTAATAATAATAGCTTGTAAAAAATGAGCCAGGATTTAAACTCAGGCTTTTCAATCATATACCTCTGAGTAGCACAGAGCATGTGCAATTTATAATTACACTTCTGCCTCCTCTGCTCAACTGTGAGCTTTTGAGAGCAGATAGGATGTCTTCAGTTATCCTTACAACTGGGATCCAGTGCTTGTCACATAGTAGGCATATAGGTGTATGAATGAATTGTTGAAGTAACATTGTAAATGTTTCATAAATTGCAAGAGAAGTTATGCTAAGAATATGTTAAGGCAGTACAGATGTATTTCATCTACCATGTGCATTGTCTGTGAGGAGCACAAAAGAAGCACAATGTGTTATTACTGCCTTTCAGGAGAATTGGTTTAGTTGAGAAACTTAAATCATTCTATTCTTGATATCAGTGGATAGTATTAATTTTTATAAAAATGAAATTATCTGTTTAAGGATACATCATATGTGCTAATACCTAACAGAATCACCAGTTTAGTTATGACTTACTGAGGTCTTTGGACAGACAGACTGCCTAGCACTTTGAGGACTGCTACCTGCTTTTCATGTCAGCCTTACTTTGCAAAGAATTCTTTAAAAGCAAAAGCTTTCTACCTCTGTGACAGTGAGCTAGATTATCAGTCCAGAAGGAAAGGAGACTTCCAAGCCCTGATCTTAACATGTATCAAATGTATACAAAAGAAAGATTTCAGTTACTATTCTAAATGTAAAAGATGCCTAAAATATAGGTACATGCATACTATGGTTTCTGGAATTGTGCTTGTGGAGAATCGTTGAAACATGGTGGCTTATGTTCTTTGCAGTAGTAGCATGCTTATTTCATAAACCAAAGTCCATATAGGAAAAAGCTGTTTGCTCCCCCCATGCCATGCAAAGGCTTATAACTGAATGAGGAAAAAAATTAATTAATTACATGAATATTAAGAGGTTACTTATCTATTATAACATTAGGCCACAAGTTGACTAATTAAAAGGAATGCAGGTTGGAAAGCTGCCACAAATCTGCTCCTTTCATTTAGAGGGCCACAGGCTGAAGCCAGTGATTGTGCGTGACAGACTCCGGGAACAATGGTGCTGCGCACAGACCGTCCAGATGAAGCATGCTCGTCTGAATTACACCGGCTACAGGGTGGCCTACAGGCAAACAAAATGGTTAAACAATACATAATCAAGTTTTTATTTGGTATTTCCTGCGAGGCTGTACCAGTTGCCAGGGAGTGTACTGTATTTTTTTCCCTTCAGCTGTATTAATTGTTGAACATAGCTGGCAGAGCCCCAAACAGGGACAGATAAGGGGGGAAATGGCATCTGGACATTAAAGCCCCAAGTGTACTGGGGGGGGAGAAGAAAAGCACAAAAAAATTACAGCATATATCAGGAATTTTCCAACTAACGATGTGCGGATGTGGTAGCGAGAGGGAGAAAGAGCCAAACTGAGCTTGCTTTGTTCACTAAGAGAGGCCCCCCTGGAACATTCCTTTTAGCTGTGCATATTTTGGCTTCATTTGTACAGTTTAACTTTATACTGTGTGTGGAGAAGCTCAGTTGTAACTGGCTGTGCCTAATAATTCTATTGCAGTAATTAAAAGTTCACGGAAAGCTGTGATGTTGTTAAGTTACTTAGAAGTGGCTTCAAAAACCAAGCCTAAGCTGAAAAGTTTTTTAAGTGACATTTATTACTGTACATGGTAGCAACAATTCTTTTCTTTGATTTCACAACAGTTTTTTTTTTCTTTTTTGAGACAATAAGTCATTTATAGAGACAACCAAGAAACAATGTCTTAAAAGCTTGAAGTAAGAGTTGGGGGGAGGGGCTTAGATTGTGATGAAAATACAGATCTTAGCCTGTGAATAAAAATAATCTCTAACTGATTTGTAAAATATGAAAATTTGTAATAGGAATAATCCCATTTGCTACTTTTAGGTTCTGTTTTAAAAGTGAATGAATATTAGTCAGTTGCAGAGACAAAGTATTACCACTTCATGACCTTGTTTTAATTCATGAACACAGTGGAAAAGCTCTAGCTTAACACAGCTCTTTTCTTAAAAGATTGATAAGCTCTGGAGTCTCCCTAACGGCAATAATTGTAATGTATACCAAACAGTGAGGGCAGTGAGACAGATTTCCCAGGAGCTTTGGCTGCACTAGTAGAAATCTGTCTGCGAGGTTGTCAGCTCAGTGTTACACACCTGGGTTTGAATTCTAGCCTAGTTACTAACATGTTCTGAAAATCATAGGTATATTCTATCTCACAAGTTTTTATAATATTTAAATGACATGAAATATGTCTAGTTCTTAGGGAAATGCCAGGCATATGGAAAACCTTTGATAAACTTTGACTGTACTGCGATATCTCCTCTGTTGTAAAGCTCTGGGATTTCTTCAGACTTCTCAGACATTCTTCCAGGTGGTGTCTACATTAGACTCGAATATATTTACTTGTATAAACCATAGAAAGGAGGAAGTTGCTTGGTCTGTGATGAAAGCTGGGACCATAATTTTTGTATTACTGTTATGCATTCTTTGAGAAGCTGAAATTTTAATAAGCTCTTCTTCTGAAGCACTTAAGAATTATTAGTTGTGGAAAGCAGTATTCTCAAGTAGCATCACTGAGATAGGCTTGCAGCTACAGGATACACATACTTCATGACGTTATAGATGCTGCCTGGTAACACAAAGCCAAGGGCTTCACCTCCAAATGTGAAGAGGATATCTGCCCTACTCACAGTCTTGTATTTCTTTGGCTGATTTTTCATAAGACCTATTTTAATGATTTTTGTTACACATCAGTTATACTTTCTGGTGTATGTTGTTTTCCATTTTCTACTCCAGAAACGTGAACCCTCTTGAAAGCAGGAAACATGTTAGGAGTTCATAGACTCCAAATACTAGAATTGCACATTCAACACCCCAGGTTTCAGTGTGCTGTCTATTCAGTAAAGGGGTGGCAGTAGTAATGATGATAAATGTATAGATCCCAAACATCTTTCGATGTTCCACAAAACTTCTCATAGACCAAAGCATTTATTTAAATAGGCATGAGCCTATGAAATCAGACCAGCTGTTTTCAGAGACTCTTATTTCCTGAAAACATTTTGAGGCCTTAACTAATATCACTGCTGAAAAACATCTTTTGAGTAATTTAGTAAAGACTGCAATAAAACATATACATGTGTGGTAAGTTTTTATGGAATCTTAGCACTAGGAATAAAATCAGTTCTCCCCTACCAAAACAATTACAACACCAACAAGCCAAATATGGTCGGCTTTGACTTAAGAACTGGAAAACTCCCTTTTCATTTCTACAACTGGCATTTTCTCTTCAGCTGCTTTTTAAGCTGGGCTGTTAGCAATTTAGCCTGTCTTTAATTTTAAGCACCATTCTTCTAGTCAGATCCCAATAGGAAGCCCCACTCCTGTAGCCTCGTTTCCCATTGGCTAGCTGGGAAAAGAGCATTTCTGCATAAATTGGATGCTTCCTTCTCCCCTGGAGACCAAATATGCTCGTGTTTCACAATTCCCTGGTTTGTGAGCTTGAGTCCATTGCCTGAAGCTGGAAACTTTCACTTTGTAGAGCACAGCCCACATGGAAATCCAGATCCGATGCCCCTGAATGCCCGGGGGGCGGGGGGTTTGACGGCAGATTGAATACATACTTTTTTCTTAATCCAATGTTTCTGAGCTACTCCAGTTGAAATCAGAAACCGATGTGCTCCAGAGAGGTATCCTTCAAAGAAAGGTATTTTCTTTGTGCGGCTCCAGCGCACACAGAATTCAAGGGGTTAACCTGAGAGCTGCTTTGAAAACAGAGGCGAAGGTCACTGGCGGCAAGAGCAAAGACTTTTAAAGCCTGCCGTCCTGAGCCTTTCAGCCTGCCTTCCCCACCCAGGGGATTGTAAACATTGGCTCCCAGCCACCGAGTCCCCACAGCACAGAACCTCTCTGTGCTTTCAGCATATACATTTTATGCTTTTTTATGGAAGCTGAAGCAGAGGCGAGGTATTGCTGGGAGCCCAGAGAACATGTCTCTGTTCAGTGAGAGGGGAGGAATCCTGTCCTGCCGGAATGTGAGAGCATGCAGATATGCTTTTTAGCTGTGCTTCCCATGGAACTTAGCTGCTGCTCTCAGTCTTTCTTAAATCAAAAGAATGCGTAGAATGCTGTTACTTAATCAGAACCCAAAAGAGCCCTTTTATCTGCCATTTGTTAGTAACTAGCAATATTGCCCTTATCGCTTTGTCCTTTAGCTCGATCCAGTGCCCTCAGATATGAGAACTGGTACCATGAAAGCACTTACTACTACCTTGAGCATTGCTTCTTGTTTTCCTTTTTTAAAACTCAGACTTCCTTATTCAACACAGAGACACTGTGGGACTTTTTTGTTGTTGTTTTTACTGTAATTTAAATAAAATTGTCTTAGTCCTAGGATCGTATTTGGTAATGTTTAAAAGGAATCCAGATGATTCAGGCATTTGTGTTACTATTTATGCCTGATGCTTCAAAAGTCTCTTATCAGACCGACTCATTGTTATTGTAAACCTCATTGATCCAGTGGCATGAGACCAGAATGGAATTTCCAGAGAGAATATATGTAGCTGAAGTTTCTCCTTCATGAACTTTTTAATATGTTGAAGGGGGATTAATATTATTCTGCATATAAATAATTTTATGTAATTTCGGTTATTTGATATGATTTTTTTTTCCCTTCAGTGATTTCTGAAGATAGGAACAGAGAATTCATTTTGGTAGATTCATATATTACATGCAATACATAGGGTCAAAAAATTATACCCTTACCGTTCCTTTTTGCTATGGTCTCTTTTAAAGAAATGACTCCTTTTTCGAGGCAGATAGATAAAATCTTAGCCTTCTGAAACTGCTACAATGAGCATATTTTGTAATAAATTTAGGTGATTGCCTACAGAAAGTGCAGCCAATCACTATACATTCCTGTTTAAATAGCGATGATTGACTCTGAAAAGAATAAGGAATTGGAACACAGCCTCTATCATACTGCATAGACATGAGTGTTCCCTAGCCTGTAGCTGCAGTTCTTAAGACAGCTTTGACTTTGACATAAGGGTCTAAATGACCCTTAAAGGATTCACAGTGTCTTTGGGAATTACAATTTTTACTTTATGGAATCACAAACTCTATTGGGTACTTACTAATGTCCTTTCAGTTTTCCTATTGATCAAATTTCCTTTTCTTTAAATACCAAGTTTCTGCAAACGTCAGTAACGTGATATATTGGTACATAGTACAATGTCCAGATGGTATCACTGAGCATGTAGAATTTAATTAGTTGATTCTGAGGTTGAAAGAACTTTATAAATAATCTAATGTGACTTTTTGATTTTGTAGTTGAGGAAACTGGGGTCCAACAATAGGAAATTATCTTTTTTGCGAGACACATCTACAGAGATTATTTATAATAAATATACACAGGTATCTCTGGAAGGAAAATCCAGCTCTCTAAATCTCAGTCCAGAACTGTTCCTCTTAGTTCATCTAGCCTTGTACTGTTACACCTCTCTACAGTGCATAGTGGGTGATGACCCTAGTGATGAAAGGTAAGTTAGTCAGTGGCTGTTTATTTCTTGGTCGTACTGCTGCAGATAGTGGGACTATGTAGTGATTATGAGCAAATGTTTTATACATGGCAGGTGGTAACGTGAGGTCTGGGTCTTTACTTGTACCCAAGGCTCTGGTGACATTTCCAATCATTCATTTATCAATTTGCCATACCTCAATTTCACTCTTAAGTTTCTCACAAAATCTATAGAATCCTCTTTCTCTCTTCCCCATTTAACAAGTAAGAGTGACTTTATATTACCACTGTGAGTGCTACATAAAGCTAACAAAGCTAGTCACAGACCAAAGCTGTGCCCTGAGGCTAATTCATAGCAGTGTTTTTATAAGTTGATGAGAAAGCTTGACTGTAATTGTTAAAGCCTTTGATCCAAAAATGCACAAAAGAAAACGAAATCTTTCAACAAGTGTAGGCCCCAAAGTGACAATGCGGAGAGGAGTGATCTGGCCAAGAGATTCTTTATTGCCAGGTGGGAGAGGGAGAGAGGAGAGGGGCAGGGGCTTAAATACCCCTCAGTGAGACTCAGCATGATCTGATTGGTTAGGA